TGGGCTGGGTGTCTGATGGAAGACAGTAGAGGCTGCTTTGCTTGTTCCTGAACCGGTCACTTCTCAGGGAAAAGGGACACAGTTCACCCAGCATTCTAGCCGATATCTAGAAATTTAACTTTCCTTTTTTCTTTTTGGAGTGATTTATTTTTTTTTAATGTGTATGAGTGTTTTGCCTGCATGCATGAGTGCACTCATGCGTGAATGCCCACAGAGGCCAGAAGAGGGTATTGGAGCCCCTGGAACTCAAGTTACAGACGGTTGTTAGCTGCCATGTGGGTGCTGGGAACTGAACCCAGGTCCTCTGCGAGAACAGCCAGTGCTCTTAGCCACTGAGCCATCTCCCCAGCCCTGCGTCTAGAAATGTAAAGGCTACACGGGAGGGGAAAACTGAACAGGCTCTGAAAGCAAGAGCCCTTTCACTGCAGGACCATCACGTGGCCACAGTGAACTTGACCTTGAGACTCCTGACTAGGACACCCTGTGCTACCTGCTGATGCTACCGAGCCAACATTTTTCTCAATCTATCCTCACCATGCAGAGCTCCATAAAGCACGCAGGCAGATCAGCCAGGGTGGATGGAAAGGTTGAGCTTAGTCCTCGGGGCACTAACGAATCTCTCAGAGTGGGCAAAAAACTACCAGTCTCTCGAAGTGGGCTGCTCTCTACAACGAGATCTTAGTCTTCAAAGCCCAGAGTGCTTGGGCACCTGCTCTGTGGCATCCGAGCACTTCACTGTGTCAATTCCAGTGTTTCTTACAGTGCAGCTACCATGGAAACACACGCATGCTCAGGACTCCCAACAGCCTGTGGTCTACAGAGAAGTGCCCAGCTGCACAAGCCTGACTGCCAGGAGGAGGTGCGGCTGCAGCTGAAGCTTCCGCCAGCATGGACTTGCCCTCCTCCCTCACCATAGGCTTGGAATGGCTTCAGATGCCCACAGTGGACATTCGGTCCTTTCAGGCTCAGTATTTCTGTGGAGAAATGTCTTCTAACAGCCAGGGATCAACATGGGAATGCAGTACAGGCCACTGCAGAATCACATGTCCAAACAAGCCCTCCCCCGCCCCCAACACACACCAGCAGTTAGGCAGGTTGAGCGTGATGCTGCCCTGGACACTGGCTCCGAATTGCAGGTACCCCAGGCACCCCAGGCTGATGTAGACAGCAGTGACGATGGCCATTCCCACATAGAGGATGACTGGGAACTGACGTGGGTTCTTCATTCTGTTTTCAAGGGGCAGAACCTACAGAAAGTAACAAGAGAAAAGAAAGCTCAGAAGAAAAAATGTCCAGTCCACAAAAAGAGCATCGCAAGACACAGGAGAGGGCTCGGTGGCCAAGGTGTCGGCCTGCACTGCACGGGGACCTAAGTTTGGATCCCCAGAACCCACAAAAAAGCCAGTAACCCCAGCACTTGGGACAGGGAAGTGGGGGACAGGAGGGTCACTGGAGCTTGTAGGCCAGTCTAGTCCAGTGAGCTCTGAGACCTTTTCTCAAAAACAAAGATGAAGAGTACCTGAAAAGACAAGTGATGTTGATTTTTGGCCTCTAAACACACACATACAGACATACACATACACACATACACACACACACAAATGGACACACATGCATATGTACATGTAAACACACACAATCATCAGAAAAAGGAGCTCCTTTATACCCAGCCCGAGTTACTCCATCAGCAGCCTCTCTCTCAGGCAGAGGAGAACCCTCTGTCTACTGAGGAGTGAGGGGAGATAAGAGTGAGGTGTGGCTACAGCCCAGGCCCTCAGCTCAGGCGCCCAGTCCCCGCTAATTTGTCTAAGTGTGAGCTTCCCTTGTCTATTAATTTTTTTAAGGAGGGAGGATAGGGTCTCATGCACCCAGGCTACCCTCAGACTAGCTATGTAGCCAACAATGATTCCAACCTCCTGATCCCTCTGCCCCCATCTCCCAAGTGCTAGGATGACAGGCGTGTGCTACCACATCCAGCTCAGGTCCTTTCTAACAGTGTTTCCTGAACCCCAAAGCAGACCATGAGGACACTGGGGGTGCCGGGAGGGAGCGCGCCCCGGCCTAAGGCATGGGCTTACCATTCCGATGCCTTCAAATGCAAAAATAGCCGTGCCAAAGAACAGAGGGTAGGTCTTCCATGGTGCCACCAGGGGGAGGTGCCTGGGGTCCGGGATCCTCTGAAACACATGAACCAAGGGCTACTCAGAGAGCTAGGGTTGGAACCCCAAGTCAAATAGAACACACTTTCTCTTAAATCTAATATTCTGGAAAGAACAGAGCCTGACACTCAACACACCAGCGGGGGATGTTTGGCCCTTTTCTCTTTTTCTCTACAAGCTGGGAAACCACATTTTGCTTTGAGCAAATATCTGACCGGTGTACTGAAAAATCCTCATGTGTTGACGCATGCATAAAGACACAATCTCAAAAACTTGATGTAAGGAGAAAAACCTCAAGAGCTAAAAGAAACTGCAAATAACCGCCTTAAATGCTCCCGAAGCGATCAATTAACCACATGCCAACTATATGAGACTATTATACACCATTTAAAAAGTAAAAATTGAAACCAGACAGGGTAGTACATGCCTCTAATCCTAGCACTCGGGGGGCTGAGGCAAGGGTTTTAATCTTTAAAAAAAGAACCATTTTAATATGTAGAATTCAGGTGCTTCGGCTGTAAAGTGAGATGTGAGCGTAAGATCACCCTGTAATTACTCCTGAGTCAGAGACGAAAGTTGCTGGAAACAGGTGCCACCTGTGGGTCAGTGAGTGCCAGCTGCCAGGCTCATCCATCAGATCGGAGGGAGCTGTCGGCTGGGGGGTTTCACAATCCAGGTATGGTATTATGTGAAGACTAGCATTTATTCTACCATCTTAGTAGATGGATGCTGATTTACAAGTCGACCAGTGAGAGGGAGAAAGCTCCCTTCACAAAGAAACTTGCAAACTGAAATCATCTCATCAGCTTGGCTTCTCTGAGACAATGTCATGCAATGGACTAGAGATTGAAAGATGTATCCAGTTTGGGAATCATGGTAACTGAGCAAAGATGTATCACAGAATAAAGGGCTGAGGATGCAGCTCAGTGTTGACTGTTTGTCCAGCATATACAAGGTCCAGGTTTTGATCCACAGCATTGGAAAAATAATTAAAGCCATATGATGAGAAAACATTTGGGGGATGTCCCCATCCCTGGGCAAAGCACTGGGTTCAGAACCATGCCTCATTCCACAGAACAAAGACCAGAGAGGGTGGGGACTGAGACAGAGAACCTTGGTCTGCTTACGACAAGGGAAAAGACCCAGAATCACTAGACAGTGGGGAACCCCACAGGAAACGGCACAAAACAGAACAGTAGTCACAAGCAGCGTCCCTGGCCGAAGCCACCTGGAAAAGGCTGACACCGGGCAGCACCAGGGCGATGCACGACAGGCCACCCCTGCTCACCACACTGCACCAGGGAGGAGGGGACAGACAGGACTAATCGAGCACAGCATTCCCACAGGCCGAGCCAGCCTCATGCTTGTGTGGCAAAGACTTTCCTGACTGAGCCACCTCCCCAGCTCTTTTGAGGATCTTTTTTGAAATCACCTTTTATTAGCCTCTTTTATTTTCCTTTTTAGAAGACTTGGCAAGACTTCTAAAACTGCCTTGAGGTTTAAAGGCATGTATTCCTATGGTTCACTCCCCCTCATGCTCAGATGGTCTCTTTCAGAGAACCCCACACCCCTACCCATCAGACTAAGTAAGCAAGGGGTGTGATCAACAGGCAGAGTCACAATTCTGACAAATAAATATGAAGGGAGTTAAGAAGGAATGACTCTAAGTACCAGTTAAAATGGTTTTGATTTTGATCTTAGGATTTTTCTCTATTTTCCCAATGTGTATGTTGGTTATACATCAATAATCTAATCAGAAAAAGTCTAAAAGTCCAAAGCAGTGGTTTCCATTGGGGCAAGTCTCCTCCCACCCCTAGGGACATTTGACAAAATCAAGTAACTGCTTCTAGCACTTAGGGATGCAGCTAAGTATTCTACAATGCACAGGAGACTCCCACAGCAAAGCAGCACCCGGCCCCTGACATCAGGACTGCTAGTCAGGACTGCCTCATGGGGAGACAGCTCAGGGTGAAGAGCACTGGCCGCACTTCCAGAGGACACAGGTGCACCTTCCAGCACCCACACAGTGGCTCACAACTGCCTGTAACTCCAGTTCCAGGGGATCCAACACCCTCTTCTGGCCTCTGCAGGCACTGCATGCATGTGGTACATAGATGTATAACACATACCTGGGTACATACGCATAAAAATAACAATTTTTTTTTTTTTTTTTAAGTCTAGTGTGTTGTTTCCTTCAGATTAAAACTTTGTTTTCTGGGAGGGAGAGAGGCACTCATAAAACTCACAAAAAGTTACAAGATCAGGAAGCCTTCATCTCCGAGGCTACGTAAGCAGTAAAGAATTGCCTGGGAAGAGATTCTTCATGGTGCTGCCTACACGCTGTGCAGGGAGCTCCAGAGACAGCTTTCTTTATGGCATCATACATGGTAGGATGGCCCTTTGGGGAATGCGGCCGTCCCTGAGTCACACATGCTTCTGTAAGTGTCCCAATAAACTCACTTGTTCACACCACGCTAGACTTGAGTAGAATCATTTCTTGTGTCTGTCACTGGTGCCCTGTCTGGAGTAAACAGACATTTGTTCGTGCCGCCCAGGAAGCTATGTAATGTCTAATCTAAATGTACCACACGTAAGCAGCACATGACCACTCTGTTCCTGTTTTCCTTCTGATGGTGCATGGGATGGAAGTCAGGCCTGGGTTTGTACCTGGATGACTAGCTGGTAGATCATGACCAGGCTGACCAGCATGCTGATGTTGGCCAGCAGGGAGAAGATGGAAAGGACGCGCAGGTTCCGGATGAAAACCAGCAGCACCAGGAAGGGCAGGAAGGCCAGCATGTAGAGGCGCGAGTCCATGGTGGGCATGAGGACCACCGTCTCGTTGTTGTGGCAGTTGTTGGTGGTCCCGTTAGCCGCCTCTATCACCTGGAATGAGAAGGAAGGAAAAGCCATTGATGACAAAGCCAGTGACTCACCTGCTGAAGAGGCTCCCGACCAAAGGTCGAGGGGTGAGAACTTGGCCTTATCCAGACACCTGTGGCTGAGGAACCTTCTTGGAGATCTCGTGGTGATCACTGAACCTTCTGAGTCTGTGCTTGTACCACAAACACTTCTGATGTTCATCTTCCTGTAAATAAGGGAAGCCGGGGGACTGTGACTCCCTAGTTGGAAGCTGTTGGGTTCCCTCCCTGCCTTGGTTGTTTTGTGAAAGAACAGTTAGCTAGACTACAGTCATGACGACACTGGCTATGTTGAACGGTTCACAGATCCTTCAGAAAACTACACAACAATCTCAGCTGAATGCTCTGGCCCCCAAAGGCACAGTCTCCATCAGGAATTGTTGTCTGTACTGGGTTATTAAAAATAGTTTTCATGTAGATGAGTATCTGCCTGCATGCATGTCAAGTACAACACATGCATGCCTGGTGCAGAAGTCAGAAATGCATACTGGATCTCTGGTATTGGAGTTATGGGAAGTGATGAGCCAGTATGTGGGTGCTGGGAACTGACTTAAGTCCTCTGCAAGAGCAGCCAGTGGTCTTAGCTAAGCCGTCTCTCCAGTTCCTATACTGGAATTTTTGCTATCAAAAGCCTCAATAAACTCTGGGTAACCCTGAAATCATTTCCATCTAGGCCAGAGGGTAACACTTGCCCCGGTGGCCTAGCAGGGGGACAGTTGTGGCAGGTGCGAAACATGCAAGGCTGTGATTGGTGCAAACACGAACTCTCGTTTGCACGTGAGGCACACCATGACCAGGACTGATGCTCCTCTGGCTGTATGAGCGGGCTGTTTGGCTCGCCTACCGAGTCAGCTGGGAGACAGGGCTGGTGCTGCCTCCCCTGGCCCTGCAACACTGGGCTCAAGAGAAAGCTTATCTCAGGCAATCCTTTGTTGTCTACTTTTCGTAGACTAGGCTGAACCAGTTACATGAGGATCAAAGCTGCAGAGACGGCAAAGACAGAGCTGGCAGACCGCCGGAGGCTGCAACGGCTGAGCACAGCGAGCAGGCCAAGCTGCAAACGCGGCAAGACAGCCGCCTGCTTTGCGGCCCGAGGGAAAGCAGAGCTTGGTGCCCAACAGGCTGAGCTGCGAGTGCAAGGTAGCCAACTACTGCCGGCTGGAGAGGAGGCAGCTGAACGGAGGGACAGAGGCCAGGGCGGAGCGAGAGGGCTGGGGGGGTGAGGAAGGACAGAGCCAGGGAAGAAAACTCCCGGCCCCGTTGCCGAGAGTTCCAGAGACTTCTGGGGAACGTTTGGGAGGAGTGACTATAACCTAGACACTTGTGTCCCTCACACTGGCTTTCTGGACTGTTGAAACCAGGCACCCTAGGGATCCAGAACTTTCCACAGGAACCTAATGCTGGGAGAAGGAAGAGGCTGAAGCCTGGTGTGGACAGGGGGAGTCTGTCTCCTGGAAAGGGGAAGCAATCTGACGGACTGAGCAGAGACACCCGTGTCAGACCAGCCCACAAACCACGACGGGCCAGTGAGGGTGGGACCACGCCCAGACCAGGACTGTCTGATTAGATATATTTCTTGCCTTCTACTTAAACTTTATCCTCCTGTCAGGACCTGAAGATGCATGGACTGAGCAGAGACACCGTGTCAGACCAGCCCACAAACCACGACGGGCCAGTGAGGGCGGGACCACGCCCAGACCAGGACTGTCTGATTAGACATATTTCTTGCCTTCTACTTAAACTTTATCCTCCTGTCAGGACCTGAAGATGGACTTGGGGGTCCACAGAGCTCCGCATCCTTCTTCCCAGCGTGGCCTCACTGAATAAATCTGTTTTCTGCTTTTCAGTATTAATTCTGCTCTTTAAACTGGATTATCAGGATGGACAGTCAAGCTCAGACACCCCCAGCCTGGGAGCTGTAATCCTGTCTATGGTTGAGAGCTAAGGGATCCTCACACTTAAGCCTGCCTAGTAACTGCAAAGTCCACCGCTGCCAGACTCTGAGGACTGACTCCCGAGGCCTAGACAAAAGCTCTAACACATGACGAGCTGAGACTCCCTTATTGGAGCCTACACAAGAGCTATAATCCCAGAGGGTGCCACCTATTCCAGTTCCTTCCGGTTTGCTGCCACTCCCTGCTGTCTGCTGTCAAAGGAGACCAGGCTGCTACAGACCAGCCCCTCATGCCAGTGTGTGCCGTCCAGGCAGCTATAACAGAAGGATCCCGGCCACCTGATGTTAACAGGAGCACGACAACTTCCAGGTGTTCAGATGAGAATCCATCAGGAGACTGTACACAAAGGGTTAAATCCCAGTTTGGGCTTAGAAAGAAGCCTTAAACAGAAAGTCCACCCAACTCCTTGCCATGGGGACGCTACCTGTTTAAAGTTGTCAGCCAGAAACACAAAGTAGACAGAGCAGAATCCCAGCTGAGTGACGATGAGGAAGAAGTCCACGACAAGCCTGCAGAGGGGACGGAGGAATGCCATGGTCCCGAGAGACAAAGGCACCCCAGAGACAAAGGCTCCATCCGGTGTGCCAGCGTCACCAGCCTGGCATTTGGGAAAGACAGCGGGGAGGGCTGTCTGTGTGGTCTCCAAGTTCTCTTCCTGGCTTCTTGTCTTCTTCCTGAGCTCAGGGGATCACCCAAACAGAGCCTGGCCCCTGGGCCTCCCCCCCACAACCCACCAAGCTCCACCCGTTCTTCCTGAAGCTACAGGGAAGCGTTGGCATAAAGGACCGGGAAGTGGACCATTTCATAGACTCTTCCTGCAGCTTGGATCCAAGGTCTTGTCTTGTGCAAATACACAGAACTAGGTGTGCCCAACCCAGCTGCTGGCTGGAGTGCCATCACTACAGTTGGTGACAAATCCCAAAGGCCGTCAGGAGGAATGGGATTAAGGCCAGGCATGGTGGCACATGCCTTTAATCTCAGCACTCAGGAAGTAGGGGAAGGCAGATCTCTATGAGATCAAGGCCAGCCTGGTCTACATAGAGAGTTCCAGGCCTCCTGGGGCTACAGGAAGACCCTGTTTCAAACAAACAAAACGAAAGGGATTAAATTACAGACAGACCCTTCTTAAAAGGAACATAGTACATGAGTCAGAGAGATCAGGTCAGACCTGTAGGTACTGCCAGAGGAAAATACCTAAGGCATTTAAGGAGAAAGGCATATAGGAGGATCCACTTCCAAAAATAAAAAAAATTAAGAGCATGTGTATGATTATACGTGTACAGAAAATTCCAGAAGGACACCCATGCAGCTGGGCTGTGGCCAGTATCTGCTTTCACTTTTCACATTATGCCCTCCTACCATGCTCAAAACAACGCTCTTCCTGTAAAAAGAAGGAAGAGCATCGGGAAGAGGGAGGGAAGGAGGAGGAAGGCAGGAAGAATCGTCAACCACACAAGGCATGATGGACGCTCGGCAACCTGGTCCCTCCCAGTCCACAGAAGATGATTTTGCCAAAAAAGGAAAAGACATAATCCTCATCACAGCTGGGAAAGGCAGAAGCACCCGCCTCATTAAAACAAAAGCAAATAAAAAGGATTCCACCTTGACAGTGTGACTTCCCTACATCTAGACAGGAACAAAGATGGAGGGGCCCTGACGTCAGCCAGGGCCTTCCAAAGTTCCTCGCCTGCTTCATGGACGTTCTCTAACCCACCCCACGTGCCTCTGCTCTGGCACGGTCAGGCTCCAGGATGCTCAGAGCACTCCTATCAGCACACACACCACAGGCCTGTACTTCTTGGCTTCTCCCCACAAGCCCCTGAGGGTAGGGACCACATAATTTATCGCACGGGATCTCCTTTCCTGAGAGAACGTTTCTGTGCCAATTGTAAGATACCGCTTAGAACACAATTGCTGAACAAAGGAGAGAACCGAATTTATTGGCAGGCTATCAGAGCAGGAGCGGCCTTCAGGGATCCTTCAGGCCATATATTACAGATGAGGAACCTGAGGCCCAAAGCTTGGTCTCACCGTTTAGCATCAGCCTAGCTGACCCAAACAACTCCCTCCAATCCTGGCACTGTCCCCACATCGCTCCTGCTTGTCTTTGGTCCCCCACGAAGGGAGCCGGGGCAGAGGAACAAGGATGCCCGTTACCGTCCCCAGTGGGCGTGGCTCCGGAGCCAGCCGCTGGAGCTGCTTTCTAGTCCGTGCATCACCGTGTCCCCGTAGTCCACAAAGGGTTTGTTCAGTCTGGGAGGGGGTGGGATATAGGAAGAGCAGAAAGAGATCAAATGAGACCACTGAGACCTGGGCCAGCTCCCTGCTTGCCACCCTAGGGGGCCTCTGAATCCCGTGTCTGGTGCTTTTCAGGACCACAAGTTTGTGTGTGTATGTACGCGTACATGTGTACACGTCCACCTGTGTGCAGGTACATGGAGGCCAGAGGTCAATGCTGCGTGTCTTTCTCAGTTGCTCTCTATGTTATTTTTTGAGACAGAGTCTCTGACTGAACTTGGAGCTCACCAATCAGGCTAGACAATCTGGCTGGAGAGCCCCGGGGATCCTCCTGTCTCTTCTTCCCCAGGGATTACAGGCTATACTGTGACACCCAGGTTTTTTAAAATTTATTTTTATTTACTTATTTTTTTTACATGGGTGCTGGGCATCTAAACTCAGGTCCCCACACTGGTACAGTAAGTACTTTACCAACTGGGCCATCTCCCCAATACCTGGGTCGTGTCCAGTGAACAGGCTGGTGCCCTCATTATAACTCGCAACCATCTGGCAAAATTATTTCAGTGGGGTCAACATTCCAAGCACAAGCAACAGGAATGTGGTCTCTGTCCACTGGACACATGTAAATTTAGAGATGACGATGAACCGAAAAAAGGCCACAAAAGGAACCCAGGGAGGCGAGGTCACAGCACAGCAGCCATCCTTAGCAGTGTGAAGACCTGCACAGCCCACTTGCAGACTAGCAAAGGACCCACGTGCCCCTTGGGAGGTAGCGAGGGGTTCTCACCTGCGGCAGAAGTGGTGAGCGCACTTCACCAGGATGCCCATGCAGTGTACAGCCACGATGCCGATCACCAGCAGGCTGAGGGGACCCATCTGGGGACCAGGGTTGCAGGCCAAAGAAGAGACATGAGGGCAGAATCAGGAGAGAACTCAACAAGACTGGATTTGCAAATGATAAAGATGCTATTAAGGTACTTCTAGGGACAGAGCTCTGGCCAGCAGGAGAGATTCTTGACTGAGGATACGGGATCTGTGTGCGTGGCCTTGGCCTACTGTCTAGACAGTTAATCTTGTGGAGGAGAATGACTGGAGATAAGCCTGTTCCCAGACTGTCTCAGATCAAAACAGAGGCTGCTGTGTCCGTGGGAAGACAGGCGAGTTCAGGGAAGTGGGAGGAGGGGCGCCATGCTCAGAGGCGGGCACGCAGGGAAGGCTAGCACTTGTCCAAGACTCTGAGCCAAGATGGTGTTGGGAAAGCAGGCTACTGAGGTGAGTCCAAGGGAGAGGTGCGATGCTCAGAGTTCACCAATAAGGACGGGGCTGGAAGAGGGTGTAGAAGGTGGACAGATATCTGCCATCAGCTCAACAGTTACTGACATCATTAGAAACTGAAGGCTGAGCTTCTAGGAGTGTCCAGAGGGCCCTGACACATGAATCGATGTCTGAAATTTGATTTTTTTTTTCCCTCAGCCGAATTTAAGAAGAAAAAACAATAGCACAGAAAGAAATGAATCATCCCCTGAAAGCTGCCTCGTGCCCCTCACCAGTACGGACTTACCAAGAGGCCTGCGTTTTTCACGGCCAGAGGCAGCCCCAGGAGCCCGGTGCCAATGTTGCCTTTCAGCAGGTGGATCAAGGTCTGGAACCATCTGAAGTAGGAAGAAGGCAGGCGACTAGCGTTAACCACAGTGGTAGCTAACGCTTAGTGCTATACCAAAGGCCTACAACACATTATCTCCTTTGATTTCCCAAACATCCTTGAGAATTCTGTTTCATAGGTGAGGATAAAACATGTTCAAGGTCACACGCCTAGTACAGAGCAGGGCTGGGAGTCCAGGCCAGGTAGCTGACCCTAGAGTGTACTCCTGCCACGGTGCCCTAACACCCCCAATGGAGACACCCCCGATGGAGGCCCTCCTGAGCCCTCTCCTCTCCAATGCCAGGCCAGAAGGATGATGGGGCTAGCTCTAGGCCTTCTGTCCCTTCCTGCTGTACTCAGGACTGCTTCTGACCACTGAGTGGACCTCTGGGACAGTTTCCAAAATGCTATAGAGGATGAGATACAACTAAGGCCAGACCTCAGTGTGGGAGGACAGGGGAGATTACCTTCTAAGAGGTAGCCGTACCATACCACAAGGGGCCAGAAGTTCCTACCACACTTCATGTTTAAAAAAGCAGAAGCCAACTGCACAGCGGCCCAGGCCTGAAGGAGCCCTCTGCGCAGGGACCGTGGTTTACCCCTGGCACCTTGAGGGCAGGTGTCTTTCTGTTGCCTAGCCCGCCTCCTCAGGCTGCGACTTACACAAAGCTTCTCATTTTCTTTGCTCAATCATCAGGAAAGTGTTCTGCACGCGCGCTATGGCCCCCACTGGCCTCACCAGGAAAGTGGTCTGCTTTGGGTTTTCTGATTGAGTTTTATCAACTGCTTGAAAGCTCAAATTTCACACGAGCAGCAAACATTGTTGACTATTTTGTTTTAAGCTCATGGGTTTGTTTTTTTCCTTTCTAAAGAAAATGTTAGGTACTCAGGTCTGAAAAACCTAGTTAGCTGGTTGTTCTCCCCAAAAACAATGTTCTGTGAAAACAAAACCAAATAACACAAACTGAGCTCAGTCCAGCTGCCGACTCCAACACTCACAGTTCAGTATTTGGTATTTTTCCTACACGCTTCCCATTTTTTCATATAGAAATAGAGACCTGTGCTGAGGATTGTAATCTAATAAGAATTAGTGATCTCAGGGCTGGTTAAGAGCACTGGCTGTTCTTCCAGAGGACCCGGGTCTGGTTCCCAACACCCACACGGGGGCTAGACCATCTGTAACTCCAGTTCCAGTGGATCTGATGCCCTCTTCTGGCCTCCATGGGAATTGCACGCACAGGTGCACTCACATTGTGGCAAAATGCTCAGACGCATAAAAATAGAAAAAAATAATTAGTGGTCTCACTATATCATCAAGGACTTTTTCTTTCTTTTTGGAGTCAAGGTCTCATGTAGCCCAGGCTGGCCTTGAACTCTCTCTGTAGTCCAGGAGGACCATGAACTTCTGATTGTCCTGCCTCTACCTCCTAAGCGTTGGGATGACTGGTGTATACCAGCACAGATAGTTGGTGAGATGCTGAGGATCGAACCTACGGCTTCCTGCATGCCAGGTAAGCGCTCCACCACCTGAGCCACAGTCACAGCCCTAGTCAAAGATGTTCTTAAGAAGGCTGGCCCTTATTCATGACTAGTGTCATATGGTGCCATGCCTCAATTCACCCCCCAAGTCTGCAGTTTCCCCATCACTGCTCTTGTGTTCTGAGTGCACACAGCCACACAGTGAGAGGCAAACGACATCTGAGCACTTTCATGAAGAGACACAGTCTTGAGACCCCGCCCCACAAAAGGTCTGAAGACCACCCTTGGCAAATGGCTGCTCCAGATTCGTGAAGATCAACCTGTTCCTGGAGTCTCAGCCTGCTGGCCAGGGAAAGCACCACTGCCCAAGTGTAAACAGAGGCTGCCATCAAAAAGGCCAAAAGCCCCATCACATCACAGGCTGGGGACAAGTGCTAAACGCTCTATCATGGAAACATCTAAGGTCCCTGTTTGCTCTCCCTATTTCAGGGTTTTTACTGAGCCTTTAACTTTAGAAGAGCCGGGTGTGGGCAGCTGGCTGACCTCTTTCAGGTACTTTGCTCCTTAATAAAGCAAATAGCAAGGTGGGGCGAGGCACAGGGAGAAAGATAACCTGACCCCAAAACTTGTCCCTAATGCTCCCTAAGAGAGACCCACTGGAATAGCAATGGCCCCCAAGTCAGCCTTAACCACACCTGGCCATCCCCTGAATAAATGCTTAGGTGGATCCCATGCCCCGGGCTGGAGAGATCAACATGCTAAGTCCCCAAAATGCATGTATCTGTCATCATGCCCCCCTCCTCCGCCTTTGCTAACTGTAGGGGACATAACCATCACACTTTCATGGTGACCCACCTCATGTGATGGTTTTCAGGACGGACTCTGGAAAGTGTCCCAATGCTCAAAGAAGGAACTGTCTGGTTGGCTTGATTTCCAAGAAACTAGAGGAAATACTTTGGGATTGGCTACCGGTGGCAAAAGCAACCTTCAGAACAGCATCAGTCTGAAACCTGTGAGCCCCATCCTGGAGTGGACAGCTGGCTGGTCCTAAGTTTCAGAGAGGTCTATAAAAATGAAAATTTAGACCCTGCATAGCAAGCATTTCATAGGCAAGGTGGTGTCTTGGAACAAGATGAGAAATGACACAGAGAGAAGCTGGGGGCAGTCATGTATGGGCCTCCTCCTACCCGGGGACACGGGTGAGGTGACTGGTGGGTAAGGTTAGAGGGAAGGACAGAAGGAGCAGCTCCTCCTGCTGTTGCCAGCTGGGCTCTAAGCAGCTTTTTGCTGTCAGTTAAATCTGCAAGTAAATTCGAACTCTACAAAAGCATGTCATGCGGGAAATAAGCTAAAAGCCAGACTCTCTGTGATCAGAGAGCAGCTAGTGATGGCTGGAACCAGGTATGTCGACTGACCATCCTCCAGGCTCACCCCAATTCACAGGAGAAAATGTCTCACCAGGAGACCGTGTGGGCAGAGGGAACGAGCATCCCCACAGCTTTCACAGTCCCCTTGGGCAGTCACAGGAGGTGACATAACTCTAGGACACAAAGCAGACCTCAGCAAGTCACACCCAGCTGAGGGAAGAGTGACAGCTGTGCTTGGGGACAAATGAGAGGGCTGCAGGAAAGGGGTCCTGGGATCCTGGGAAATGTTAGAGGCATGCTGGGGACCGTGAAACAGAGGCCCTCCCCTTGAAGTTTCCAACTGGGGTGAGCCCGCAGGGCCAGCTCAGCCTCACAGTGGGCCCTTCAACTGGTTCTTTTATCTGGGGAAACTGAGACCAAATTTGGCCCAGATGAGTCTTGGGTGTCAGTTTCCAGGGATGAGACTTAAACCCTCCTTGGGGAATGCAAAGTGGATCGCTCTTCCCTAGAAACTTCTGGGGGTTTTTAAGAACAGAAGTTACCACTCCCTGTTCTTCTGAGGCAGCTGTGTGCGCCGGCTCCTAGGTGATGGGTAGGCAGCTCTGCCAAGGAGGCTCCACTGGGGCTGAGAGGCTCCAGGGCAGACAGATGACACTTGGTTCTGGATCAAAAGAACAACCCTCTGGTAGCTCTAAAATCCAAGTGCATACTGTCCACGGCCTTCCAGGACCAACAAAGACCGAGAGATGACTGGGGCCGATCCCAGTGCTCGCCCTGCCTGGGACAGACTGCTTTCCTCTGTCAACTGGGGATGGGTGAAATGGGAAGACAGGAACAGAGAGCACTCCAAGGCAGCCTTGGGGACGGGACGCTCACCCGGGAGTCCCAGGTACTCACGTTGTATTGTTGTTATCCCCGAAGCGCTGATAGGAGCCGGGGGCAAAGTTGCTCAGGCCTTCGGACGGGCTGTCCTCAGGACTCACGTCGGTGGAGCTGTAGTCATGGTAATCTTCGTTCCGAAGGCGCTGCGTGGACATGGTAGCTGGGGGGACAGAGGCAACACTCAGCCCTCCAGGAGCTGGGGCCTTCAGCTCCAAGTGTGCGGTGGGCTTGGAGACAGCTGAGGCCATTTTCACAGCTGCTCCTGGTGACAGCTACACTGTGAAGTGAGTCTGACCAGAGCGCCCGATACCAACCAAGGGAAAGACAAGAGGTTCGAAGTCCACGGGGCAGGTTGGGCCTGCTGGGCCTCTGCCTCCCCACTTCCCACACTGCGCCCCACTCATTAAAATTTTAAATTCATTCTAGCACACCTGAGCAGCGCACGGGTGAGGCAATGCTAAGGAGGGCAGGTGACACCTCCAGGAAGCCTTCCTGTTCTTCTGCTTGGGTTCACCTTGGCCACCTCAAGCAGGGTTTCAATCAGACACCTTTCCCAAGAGCCAGCTCTCCGGAGACCAGAACCTGGTGTTTCCTTTTTTCACTCTGCCTTCATCAGAGAGTGGCTGTACTCGGAATCCCCTCAGGGTCACTCAGGGTCACCCAGCTCTGCTTCAGCCCCAGAAGATCCTAGACTGCAAACAGCCCCCTCCTTCCCGCCGTGCACTCAGCCCTCCCGTGCTCTTAGGAGGCGGTGATGGTCAGCTTTAATTGTCAGCTTGGCTGGGCCTACAATCACCTGGGAAGAGCATCTCAAAGAGGATTTGTCAAGAACAGGTTGGTCTGTGGGCATGTCTGTGAGGGGATTGTCTCAAACCGTGCACTCAGCCCTCCCGTGCTCTTAGGAGGTCAGCTTTTATTGTCAGCTTGGCTCGGCCTACAATCACCTGGGAAGAGCATCTCAAAGAGGGTTTGTCAAGAACAGGTTGGTCTGTGGGCATGTCTGTGAGGGGATTGTCTCAAGTAAATTAATCCATGTGGGAGGACCCAGCCCACCGTGGGTGGTATCATTCCTGGGGGGTGGGAGGGTCCTGACTTTATGAGTGGAGAAACCAAGCAAGCAGGCAGCACGCCTCTATCTTTCTCTCTTGACTGTGGCCATCATGTGAGCAGCTGTTTCAGGTTCCTGCCTTGATTTCCCCACAATGAGGGGCTGAAACCTGGGACCGTGAGCTGAAATAAACTTTCCTCTAAGTTGCTCTGTGTCCGTGTATTTTACTACAGCAACAGAAAAGAAACCAGGACCCAGTGAGCAGGAAATGCACCTAGCCCCGGGCTCTTAGGCTCACCTCCTCCTGGGTCTCTTTTGTCTTCAACCTGAGTGCTGTGATGTGGTGGCTGTGAACACCTCAGGGGAAGGCAGCCCAGCTCTGTCTCAACATCTCCCCGCCACAGCTTGGTAGTGGGACTCAGAAAACACCACCCCGAAGTATGGTGATTTGGCAGGCCAAACTCAGAGGAGCGGCCTCAGCATCTGCCCCAGCAGCAAAGTCTTGCCAACCTTCCCCTGCCTCCCGCCCCCCTCTGCCCCTAAAGTGAGTCTCAGAAACTAGAATTCATCCTTCCCAATCCAACATGGAGGAGCCCCGCTCCCCTCAAAGCAGCCATTAAACCTAAAACAGTCATCCAGTCCCCTCTCCCTTCTCGTCCTGCTCTGGGGGAAGGAGGGCTGCACAGAGGCGGATCTGAGCAGCCGGGCCTGGCTGGGTGGAGCCCCGTCGGTTTCTACCACCACACGCTCAGACCAGGCTCCTTTGCACCACTGCCTGTGCTCAGCAAACCTGAGTATACAGAGAGAACCGTGAGCTCGCTGAGGATGGATGGATCACTCACTCTGGCCCTTCCATCTTCTCTTGGCTCCCCTCATCATATAAAACATTGATTAAATAAACATTACACTTCCTGGTCAACCTGTCTAGTTATAGGAGTGTCAACTGTGACCTTCACCATGGAGAGGACACACCTGTCCCACTCCTACACCTGATATTTTTATAGATTTGCTTGTGTTTGGAAGATGGCGAGGGTGTTATCTCCTGGGGGGACACTCCCCTACACATGCCGCTCCAGAGTGGGGCTCTTCTCAGCTTCATGATGGGGTTCCTAGAATCCTAGCTCATTGCTAAGGAGCCTCCACAGGCTCCTTCAACCTCCTCATTTTACAGATGAAGAACTGGCCCCTAAAAAGATAGAGGGACTGGGCCTGCTAGGCAGAGGCAAAGCAGGATGGTTGTCTCTCCCTGAAAGCACGTCGGAGTCTAGAAACCTCCACTGACTACAGTGATGGGTGCTGTGGGCACTAAGAGAATTGATTTCCTGCCCGCCCTTCAAGGATCTGCAGGCAGCTACGGGTGGAAAAGTACATTAGCAATAAAAAGGATCAATAAAAACCACCCCTTCTCCAATGGGTTCTCCCCAGCATGTGGAGGGACACACCTGGACTCTGCGATGCTACCTCAGAAACCTGGTGAAGAGACGGCTCTCCAACCACTATCACAACACTCATCCTCCCTCAGTCCCTGCACTGGATGTCAGAGGATCTCTGCCTGCCAAAGGCACACTTGAAATCTACCCCTCCCTCCAGAGTGATCCAGGGGAAGTCAAGGAAAATGCATGGCAGAAAGTCAGTAAAGGGCCTTCATCCACTTTCTGTTGGAATAACACACTATCTGAGGCTGGGAACTTTATTAAGAAAAGAGTTCATACTGCTGAGGGTTTGGGATCATGGCACAAGCATGTGCTAGGCTTCTGGTGAGGGCCTCACACTGCTTTACGCATAGCAGAAAAATAGAAAACCAATGGGAGGGTGAGGAAGAGAGATCTTTGGGCAAGGGAGGTCAAGGGGAGGAGCCACACCCACTTCCAAACTGCCTGCTCTCAGGGTAACCTACCTACTCCATGGGGAACTACACTGATCCCTCCATGGGAGTGGAGCCCCGTGAGCTAGTTAGCTCGTGAAGACCCCACCACTTAACTCCACCTCCCTGGGCACCAGGCCCCAACATGAGCTTCAGCGGGAACAACGCACGCTGGCCGCGTGGGCCCTGCAAACCCCAGCCTGATGTACCACGGCTTCCGCTGAAGAGTCTCGTTTACTCGCACAATGAAGAAATTCAAGGCTGTTTGGAACAAACACATTCATCACAAGAAGACCGGGGTGGACAGATCTATGAACTACATTAATGTGGAGAATTCAATTCTTGTCATACAAGCAAAAGCTTGTCCGTCAACATGCATGCCAGGAAGCCTCGGTTCAAAGTCTGCCTTTGTCACTAATGCCTTCTGTAACTTTGATCGACGTTCTTTCCTACGACTGGAGTTTCCCAATGTGCAGAACGTAGAGAAGCCTCAGCGCCTCGCACCCATCATGTTCCAGAATCAACTATGTATGCCAACGACTGACATCTAGTCTCGTCCAACACACCCAAAGCATCTGAATAGAACCTTCCATGTGAGTTGTGAATAGTACCGAGGACAGAGGGACAGAACAGTGGATTCCCCAAACCCTCCCCAAACCACTATGGGCAGAGGGTGGTTGCACACACCTACAATCCCAGCAGTCAGGAGACTAAGGTAGGGAGATTATGGGTTCAAGGCCAGCCTGGGCAACAAAGTAAGACCCTGTCACAAAATATGAACTAATGGGCTGGAGAGATGGCTCAGCAGTTAAGAGCACTGGCTGCTCTTGCAGAGGACCCAGGTTCTATTCCCAGCACCCACATAGCAGCTAACAGCCACTTGTAACTCCAGCTCTGGGGTATCCAACGCCCTCTTCTGACCTCCAAGGGCACTGCAGAACATATGCGCACTTACATACACTTAGGCATAATACTCATACACATAAAATTAAAATATAATAACAAATAGAATATTAAAAACTTAAGATATTGTGGTGATTTGAATGAAAATGTCCCCCATAGGCTCCAGGTATTTGGACATTTTATGGTGGCGCTGTTCTAGGAGGTTTTAGAAGGTGTGGCTGTCCTGGAGGAAGCACATCACTGGGGATGGGCTTAGAGAGTTCTTAAGCCTTGCCAGATCTCCAGTTGCTCTCTTGCTTCCTGTGCCTGCGTGATGATGTGAGAGCTTAGCTTCTGCTGCTCCTCCTCCAGCCACCTCCAGCCACCATGCCTCCCTGCCATGACGGACTGTAATTCCCCTCGAACCAGAAGCTCAAATAAACACTTCCTGCTATAAATTGCTTGGGTCAGTGTTTCTATCACAGCAACAGAAAAGTGACTAATACAGATATTAATTCATTAAATTTAGCAATAAAATAGAAAAAGGATTTTCTTTTTTAGTTTATGTGTATGAGTGTTTTGTGTGCATGTATGTGCACCTGTGCGTGTAATGCCCACAGAGGCCAGAAGAGGGCATTGCATCCTCTGGAACTGGAGTTACAGATGGTTGTTAGCCACCATGTGGGTGCTGGGAACTAAACCTGGGTCCTCGGCAAGAGCAGCCAGTGCTCTTAACTGCTGAGCCATCTCTCCAATCCCAGAAAAAGGTTTTTTAAAAAAGCAAAAGAGGGCTGGAGAGGTGGCTCAGCGGTTAAGAACACTGGTTGTTCTTGCAGAAGACCTGGGTTCGAATCCCAGCACCCACATGGCAGCTAACAACTGTCCATAACTCCAGTCCCCCAAGGGATCCGATGGCCTCTTTTGTCCTCCGTGAGCATTGCACGACACGGGTGCACTTACCTACATGTAGGCAATACACTCACACACATAAAATAAAAATAAATAAAATATTTTTAAAAGATAATAAAAAAAATAAAAAAATAAAAAATAAACCAAAAGAAACCACTCTGCGGCTTTTAACATACGGATGCTCAATTTTTCCTGACACTGTTAGAGACGCCTCTATGTTGTACATAAAAACTGAAATCACACACAGGAGAATGCTGCTCAAAAAGACACCTAAATCCTCAGCTCCAAAGCCTAAGGGATGTGGGAGATGTGACTTAGCAGCTACACGCATGTCAAAAACAGAAAAACACTAGTTACAGGCTTTGGTTAGTGATAACCTCAAAAGCAGCACGTAACATGAAACAGATGCGGAAGGACAAATGTGATTCTAGGCCGCACCGGAGAGAGAAGCAGCCAC